TTGAGAGACTTACCAGTTGACTGCCCTGGAGTGTCGGAGTTCTGACCTTCTGAGGGGTCCCCGTACGGGCCACCACTTGTCGCTTCAATGATGCCACTGACAAGGTCTTCTCCGGAACGCTTTATTTCCCCAGGCTTCTTACAATCTTCTTCTCCTTTTTCCCCCAACCCCCGGGGCCTTATATAGGGCCCCTAGCCAATCAGTTCATTGTCCACGTGCACGGAAACTAATCTTCGGGTGAGGATTGGTTGCATGTACTGTTCCCGTGGTGATCATGTGCATACCACGTCACCGCTATGCCCACTTCCGTATAGTTGTTTACTTAAGTAAGGCCTAGAGGACTTCCGCTAGGCGCCATCTTTGGTGCCACGAGGGGAGAGGTCTTTTAGGGGCGCCTTACAGGAAACCTCAGCTAAGACAGAGCAGCCCAAAACAATAACCTACTTACTTATTTATTTATTGGAGAATTGAAGTTAGGCAGTTACACATAAATATATACACTAAAGTATGCAGTGACGGATTAAAGAAACTTAAGATGATCATTAAGGATCATTTAAACGGTAGTCATTTGTATTCAATATATGTTTCCTAAAAATTATTTCAGTATAGAAGAGTCATAAAAACTTATATTTCCTATTCTTTAGGGGACAAATTTTGTATATAATAAGTTATCATATTGACAGAGGCAGGTAACATTTCTCTAAGCAACAACATTTCTCTAAGCTGGTACATGTATGGGGGCGGTTCTTCAAAAAGTCCATGGGAAATGTGTAGTATAAAGAAAACCTATGAGGATTTCTTTCTAGTACCAAAATAAACCGATACTGTAATTCTATTTTCCATGACCTTTTCGAAGTTCCCTCATATGGCCAACATATGCTCTTTTAGGAGAGGAAGATGTTCATGTAGATAGTTTAGGGAAGCTCATTTTCATATCCCAATTTACCCTGGTCCCAAAGAGTAATGGATAGACTAAGAACTCATTCATTTGTTCATTTAGAAAACATTTGATTTTAATTTTGTTTGGTCCCTCTTATATTCTAAGCACCATTCTGGTCACTGGGAATATGATGATGAGTGAAATGAACAGTCCTTGTGAGCTCTTTCAGAGTGCATTTTTATGGGATGACAGACTGTAATTAAATAGGTAGATTTATAATATGATGTCAGTAGTGAGACATGATATGTAAACAGAATACAGTGAGGTAGGTTAGTGAATGTTGTCACTCCACCATGGCTAGGCCCACACCAAAAGGCTTTATTCTCTAAGCCAGAGAGCTTATTGAAACCAATTCAATTACTTCTTTCTTGCCTTTTGAAATCATTTTTCTCCTGTTAGTCCTATCTTTTAACTCAATGATGCTAAATAAACTGGCATAAAAAGGCTGAAGAAAAAACTAGAAGAGTGCCAGCCTGGTGGCCAGGTGGGAACATAAGCTGGATTTCCACATGGCCAACTATGCAGATCAAATCCTGGACCTGGCATCTTGAGAAACATGCCAGGCACATGTGCGTGCATCCCCAAAATCCTGGAAAGAGGAAGAGATGGGGGAGAAGGGATTGCAGTGTAATCATACCATGGGGTGGGGGTGGGGGGGTGCTTTCCTTGTCTGTCTGTCTCTATCTCTCTTTCTCTTCCCCTAAGTGCAAGCACCTTCTGGCAAAACAAAACCAAAACACCAGGAACATCTTTCATTATAAATTATTGACCAAACTTACCCAGCTTAACTTATGCTTGCTTCTAACTAAATGATGCTCCCAGGATTTATGATCAATAATGCAAATACAGTGAAGTGATAGTTTCCATTAAAAATGGAAACTGCCATAATTTTATATCAACAGAAATTAACTTTTAGGTACTTTTTTTGTTGTTCTACCAATTTTTTTCTCCTGGATAAGTAGCAAACTAATAATATGGCAAAATTAGGCCAGAACTTAAACATCAAGAACACACTTTCCCTCCTCCTCCTCACCTCTTAAAAATAGTCACTAGGGGGGCCAGCAGGTGGCATGGTGGTTAAGGTGCTGGACTCCCACATGGTTCAAGTCCCAGATCCAGTGGCTTGATAATCTCGCCCAGCACATGTGCCCAAAATCCTGAGAGGAGAATGGAGGAGAAGGGATTGCAGCATGACCATCCCCCCCTGAAGAGTGGTTTCTCACTTCCCCTCTCTGTGTCTCTCTCCAGCAAGTGCACACACCATGTGGCAAAACCAAAAAAAAAAAAAAAATGGCACTAAACTATTCCACTCAGTGCTATAAATCTTTTTTCTTTTCTCTCCTTGTCTCTATTTATGTAACCAAGGTGTGGGGCTCAACTATGAGGTTGTTTCTATGAATTCCTTGTTAAACCTTCCTTAGGGTAAAAATGCCCTCTACCAGCCAGCAACCAACCATTTTCTTCAAGTCTTCATGGAATGCATGCATAGATTAAGTCTTGGGCTCTTTAATTCCAGATGAACGGCTATCAGAAAAGGATCAAAGATGCTACTGAAAAAATGATGGCTCTTGTTGCTGAGTTGTCCATGAAACAAGCCCTGACCCTTGAACTCCAAAAGGAAGTCAGAGAGAAAGAAGAATTCATCTTCTCTTGCAATTCTAGGATAGAAAAGGGACTGCCACTCAATAAAGAGATTGAGAGAGAATGGTTGAAAGTACTTCGAGATGAAGAAATGTATGCCTTGGCCATTGCTGAAAAGTCTCGGGTAAGCTTCGGCTCTATGACATATTTATAAAGTATGCCAAGAAGGGCCATTTTCAGAGGTCAATCCATAGTATATGAGTTCTTATAGTCCCAACATACAATCCCAATAGTAACTGGAAAAAGTGTTGTCTAAGATAGTACACAGACAAGTCAAAGAACGGTAGTCCAGAGTGCCATCATATCCCTCAAAGAACACTTGGCAAGCATCTAGTCTCTCCCCACAGTAAGACACCCTGGGCTGGTGTGACAGAACATCATGCCTTTCCACCAGCAGGAGAATAACCAGACTGGCATTGGCTTTCTCTATAGGTCTCCCTCTCTGTCCTCACACCATTGCTCAGACCACATCTGACCCTTCCCTGTTCATCTGCTATGGCCTCCACAGCATATGGTGAGGCCTCTAGCCATATTTATGGTTGGCACAGTCTTCAGACACTGCACCTAAGGTGTATCCTAGGTATCAAGGCCACTCTTCTCCCACCACCAGCTGAAGTCTAGGTTTCCCTGACTCCACCTAAAAGTTAGGCACCTGCCCAGTTCTATCTACCCCCATGACCTTCTAGTAGTCTTAGGAGGGAATCTGCATCTCTTTCCAAGGCCATTACATCCTGCAGACTTGGAACTCACTCAAACTGTCCAATGGATGTCCCCAAAAGGATCTCTGTCCACTCCCTAACCCAAGAAAAAGCTGCGTTCCAAATAAGCACTGGGAATATCTGAATACAATGTCTGATTTGTAATTTCCACACCTTCTACAGCTTTCAGACTGTATCTGTGGTGTTCTGCTGTCATTTATCTGTCTCCATCATGTAGAGTTCTTTTTTGTGCTGTAAGAAATTACTCTATTTCTAGAGGTCAAATCTGGAGGACTTCGGGACTCAAAGCAAACTGCTGGCCATTCTTCACCTCTGGTTCCACTTTACTCCTTTCCTTATTTCTTCCATTGTTACATTTGCTCATCAGTTTTTTTACCAAAGGAAATATATTATCCTGCCTTTGTCAAAAACATGGAGATAATTAGGTCCTGATGACAGATATTAAGGTTGGATTATAGAATATTTAGAATTCACCAGATTTTTATAAACCCTAAAACACAAGAACAGTGTAACTAATGCCTGAGTAATACAGCCCATTCCGATGAGATAACCACATGTGTGTATAGTGGCTTCATCCACCTACCCTCCCATCCCTTTGGGAAGTGTCCGCCAGCTCAGCCTGAGCCTGCTCAGACCCAGCTGTGTCTTTTGAGACCCAAGAATAGAGGGGCTGTGCCAGAGTTTCAGAAAACTGAAAAGGAAAAATTGTTCTTTGCAGGAATTCTTGGAAGCAGATAATCGCCAGCTGCCCAATGGTGTTTACACGACTGCAGAGCAGCGCCCTAATGCCTACATCCCAGAAGCAGAAGCCGCTCTTCATTTGCCAAAACCATATGGTTCTTTGGCGCCTTTTAAACCAAGTGAACCT